CCTGGGTTTCCTTTGGCTTGAATGGGTTCTTTAATTCCCTGATTATTTTTTCCTAAGCCTTGACCAGTCTGATATCTCATCTGAGTTATTAACTGCTGTCCCTTGCCAGTAATAATACAAGCTTGTAAACTTTCTAAAGCATCCTGGCCTCAGAAGTTGACTGCAATTCCAGAGACTATGTAGGACTGAAACCATCCTGACTGTCCTTCCTCATCTTGCCACTTTAACACTGCAGCACTACGTTGTGTATTATCAGGAACTCCAACCCCCCTAATAGAGCACATAGCTTCTACCATGAACCAACTTGGAGGACAGAATTCTTTACTAATAACACTAACATCCACTCCAGTATCTACTAAACCTTTAAACAGTTTTCCCTTTATTCTTAAATTAATCATAGGATGGGTTTTGCTAATTTCATGTATCCAATAGATATCTGAGATTCCAAATCCTTGTGTTCCTCTTTTCCTATTTATAGCTTCACCCTGCTGAATATAAGGTAAAAGTAGGAGCTGAGCAATTTTTTGTCCTGGAGTAATTTGCATAATATGTTTGCATTCTAGTATTGCCTTGATTTCTCATAGTCTGAATCTATGACTCCAGGCAAAACAGTTAGTCCTTTAAGAGTGTTTCCACTTCTTCCTAAGACTAATCCTAATGTTCCTGGTGGCACAGGTCCCCAAATTCCTGTAGGAACAGCTTGCTGAGCCATATCAGGGGTCAGAGTGACTGCTATTGTGCTGTTGAGATCTAGGCCTTTGCTCCTTAAAGTGGCTCGGATGAGGGAATCCACTATGGGCATTGCAGGGCATAAATCCCCTGTTGATGACAGGGCTGGGGATAGCCCCTCTGGCCGTTTCCCTGCGGTTGGCTATTCCCTATGTCTTGATTTAACTGCTGCCAATTTCTATGAAATCTCGATCTACATAGACCAGCCCAATGATTTCCTTTTTGACATCTAGGACATAAAGAGGTTGAACCTGCGTTGTTTGAATCAGGAGGGGAATGCTCATGCCTTTCCCTTGGGTGCTACCCTGTGTCCTTCTTGGTTGCCTACATTCTTTTTTGAAATGTCCTGTTCTTCCACAATTAAAACATCTTTTATTTCCCGCTGTTACAGCAGCACTTAGTAAGTTTGCTTGAAAAATGCCTGATCCCACATTCTGACATGCTCGAATCATTTCTATAATGGTACTATTTTTTCTTAGAGGCATCAGACATTTATTACAATAGCATTGGCATTTTCATAAGCTAATTGCTGAATTAAAATGTCTCCTGCTGTTTCATGTTGTATTTGTCATCTCACTGCTCGAGTGAGGCGAGCCACAAAATCAGAAATGATTCCGTGGGTCCCTGAATACACTTATTAATGCTCCCTCAGGATCTCCTTTTGCTGGTAAAGCCCACCAGGCTCTTCTTCCACAAAGTCTAATTTGCTTATAAGCTTGTTGTGCATACTGTAGCTGATTCTGCAAGTCACTGTATTGTCCTTGTCCTGCTAACATTTCATAAGTTATTTGATCATTCAGCATGCAATTTGCATGAGTTTGTTCTTGATATCTATCTAAAAATTCTCCCTTCCATAGTAAATAATCTCCTCCATCCAGGGTTGCACGAGCCAGAGAGTACCAATCATAAGGAGATAAGAATGCTTTAGAAATGTTAGTCATAATTTCTCCAGTAAATGGAGCAGTAGGACCATTTTGTACTATGCTCTCATGTAAGGCCTTTATCATTTAAAAGTCAAACATTTCATGCTGTCTTATTATTTGATTTGGGAAATGTGGGTCCGCTACCTGTATAATAGGAAAAGCAAGTCTCTCCTCCACCGTCATGTCCTTTAATTCTTCTCGGATAGCTCTTTGCACAGGTGATTCTATTAGCAGCAAATTAAATGTTCCAGGATCAGGACATGGAGGTAGAGGGGGGCATGAAGGCCACTCCTCCAATTTTTCTTTCTGTTCCTCTTTAGGAGCGGAGGGTGCAAGGGGAGGAGGTTTATCCTCTTTAGCCTCTCTAAAAGGTTCTAGCAAATGCAATACCATGTTCCACAGGGAGAAATAATTTAGAGGCAAGCTTTTCTCCTACTGATGAGCTTTTTTCAAGTTCTGACTACTCTTTTCCAACATTCAACATCTAATGTACCCTCTTCAGGAAACCAAGTATTATGTTCTATAATAATATGCAAAAACTGTAAGAGAAGACCTTCTTCCACTTTAATTCCTTTACCCTTGAGCATGCAAGCCAAAGTTAACAATAAAGTTTTTCCCCTTTACTCAAATTATGCCCCATTATAGCCTGACTGAAATAAAAGACGTTCCCGCCCACTTATGGTTTGCAACTCTGAAGCTGGAATGGACTTTGTGCATGCTGAATTTCCCCACCTATTCGGTGATCTTCCCACCTTTCCAGTGAATTTCCTTTTTTCTTCGTTTTTTGCTCAGGCGAATCTTCTTCTCCAGGTCCCTTTCAAGGTGCCAGATGTGATGCTGCAACCAGCACAGCTAGGGTTCAAGGTCTGGAGAAGGGGCCGACAAGAAATATGAATTTAGAAATCATGGGGGCTAGGTGGAAACCTTTCTGTAGTGGAGAGGCTCACCGAAGCCCAGGCCCTGTTAGCTTTTATTCAATTTTAGAATACACATCTTTCCCTCAGTTAGGCAGGGAATCCGGTAGCAGACAGACTATCTTAAAGGTCAGTAAATATTAGTAAAGATGTACATTGAGACTATTAGGTCAGGAAATTGCTCAAGACACCATTATCTCAACAAAACAATCGGTGCATGGCTTTGGCCCTGCCAAAGCTGAAGGTCCATCCTCCTTCTGAGTTCCTTGTTGCACATTCATGATAGTGTTGACAATGGATAGCTTCCAGCACTGGGTGATGCAGCATTCATAGGTTTTGGCTTTGCTCTGTGTCTTGATGTTCACTAGCATCTTTGAGATGGTGGTAGAGGTGAAACAGATGTCTGCCAAGGACAGGGAGGAGAGGAAGAAGTACATGGGTGTGTGCATGGTGCATATGGGTCCACAGTGGCCCTCATCCCCAGCCAATGTATGGCCCTGACTTGAGAGCTCTGGCAGTGTGGGTATTGAGAGGGACAGAACCTGCTCAGAGCCAAGCACTTCCTTCTGTTGCTTCTCAAGCCCACATCCCAGTACTCGCCCACTGATTCTGCTCTCATCCTTTTAGTCTTGTTTGCAGAAGAACTGCTCTCTGGAGACTCAGACCATGTGCTTCTGATTCCTTTGTCCTGAACTCATTTGGCATGAGTATCCTGAAAGCATTATGTTGAAGAATCTAGAAGCATGGTGTGGGGAGGGGCACATTCCTCCCTCAGGGATAGGTAAGACTGTGTCCAGAAGCTCAGCAACATCTCCAGGGCATCCAGCAGAAGGGAGGCATCCTCCCAGGCCAGGTTAGACTAGCCACTTTCAGGACACCATTCTTTTGGGGAGGTCCGGTGCCTGCCCAGGGCCATGGCTCCAGTTCCCCTGACTACCTCCTCCCAACCCTCCCACATGTTTCCTCCTAGAAGCTCTATTGTAGAATTTGGTTTTCCTACCCTCTACCTCTGAGCCAGGTCTGTCACTCACTCACCAAGACCTCCTCCACTGTGAAAACCAAGGGCCTGGCTACCAGGGAAGTCCCAAAGAGACCTGATAGGGCCTGTGTGTGTCCAGAATCACAGGGTGGATGTCATACCCTCCCTAGCACTTCTCCTCTCCTGATCCTTTCCATCATCTGGGCATCCCTGGCTCCCTCCTGCCTCTCCATGTCCAAGGCAATAGAAGGATCTCCTAACTCATTGTCCTTAACTGAGCACTGACACCTGCTCTAGCTACTGGGGAGACAGAGTGACCACCACTTAGAAGCTTTTACTTATAGAGGCCTTTATAGGCCTTAATAAATTAGTCCATCCATATCCCAATAGTCCATGGAAGAGGAACTCATGTTCTCCTCCTGTTTTATAGATAAGGAGACTAGACACAGACAGGTGAGGTTGCTCACCCAGGGCTACACCTCCAGACAGTGGCAGAGTTAGGGCCTGACCCCTGACCACTCTGGTCTTCTGCTCTCATGAGAGCCATAGACAAGGTTCCAGCTTTCCACTCTGTCCAGAGAAGAGAGTCAGGAAATAGCAAATGAGCAAGAATATACTATTCAGTGAAAAGGGCAATGAAGATCTCAAAAGAGGTTGGCAGATGGGAGATGGGCTTGGGTGGGTGTGAATGATTCACTCAGACTCACATAACCTAGAAACGCTGTTATACTCTTGGTCACAATTTATTACAGGGAAAGGATACTGATTAAAATCAGCAAAGGACAAGGCACATGGGAGGGACTCAGAGAACACCAGGCATGAGCTTCCAGGTGTTCCCTCCCAGTGGAGTGCCAGCTCTCCACTTGCACAGCCATGATCTGGGACAACCAAGGAAACTCACTCAATCAGTGCTGTCCAGGTTTTTTACTGGGAGTTCCTCACGTGGGCCTGACTGACCACTCATGTGGCTGACTTCAGCCCCTTCAGAGGACAAGCTGATAGTGCATTGCTGGCCTAAGGCCTCTGCCATAAATCACATTGTGAGCCTGACTCTCTGACATGGTCTAAGGTCTGAGGTATATAGACACTCTTATCAGGCAGGACATCCCAGGGCTTTAAAGATGACCTCCCCAGAGAAAGGCAAGGCAAAAGCATCATGCAGACAGGTCTTCCTTTGGAAGGTTCAGGATTGAAGCACCCCAAAACCACTGAGTTTACTATTTACTGAGGATGACTAAATATCAAATCAGGAATGCATATTTAAAGAGTTCATGTTAAAGCTAAAGCTGGAAGGAAGTTGGTACTTCCCTGATCCACACTTCAGATGAGACTGCAACCCCAGCCAACACCTGGATAGCAGCCTGTGAAAGACCCTGAAGGAGGAGCCATGCAGATGTCTGGGATGAGAGAGTTCCAGGCAGAGGGAACAGTGGGTGCAGAGGCTCTGAGGTGAGACTAAGCTTCCAAGAAGAAAAGGAAGGCCAAGACAGGATGAAAGAAGGAGACGATGTCAGAAAGGCCATTTGGAACAAGGTTAGAATGCCTTATGGACAAGATGACATCCCCGTTTAAGGCCTGAAGAACTGACTGGTGGTGGAACCATATACTAAGGAGGAAAAAATCATTGGACAGACTCCAAGACAGCCCCCATGATCCCTGCCTACTGGTATCCATGTGTAATCCCCTCCTTGAGTGTGGGCACTTCTAACAGTAGAGTAAGAGAATGGTGATGGGATGTCATTTTCAAGATTTACAGAAAATTGACATTTCCATCTTGCTTCCATTTCTCTCTCTCTCTCTCTCTCTCTCTCTCTCTCTCTCTCTCTCTCTCTCTCTCATCTCTAAAAAAAATATAAAAAGAATGTTTTAAAGCAGAAACAGTAAAATAGTTCAGAAAAAAAATCATAAAATACTCCAAATAATTTTTCACCCCAATGAATAAGTAGCCTTACACATGGACAGCATATTCCACACTTTATTGACTAGATGTGTGCCATGAAAAACATTTTGTACAGTAAAAAATTGTATGTCTATTATTGCTTCATTACATTTTAGGTTATCCCTGACTCTAACCATAGAACACCAATCTATATATTAAAATGTCTATTTCCTTGTAGACTCTCCTTAGAAATGTGTTTGATAGTCAGTTTTTGCTAGTGCTCTGGTAGGCATGCAGACATACAGATGAATAATACAATGAAGAATATAAAACCAGGAAACTAGCTATAAAACATACTAGCATGTTAAAGTCTACATTATCAAGAATAGCAGTAAGGGTAGTGCTATAGAAAATAATGATAGCCCAGCCAGCATGGCTCAGTGGTTGAGCATCGACCTGTACCCCAGGAGGTCACAGTTCAAGCTGGTGGGGGTATGTGCCCGGGTTGCAGTCTCGATCCCTAGTGTGGGGCTTGAAGGAGGCAGCTGATTGGTGTTTCTCTCTCGTCATTGATGTTTCTATCTTTCTCTTCCTCTCCCACTCTCTGAAATAAATAAAAATATATTTTTTAAAAACAAAAGAATAATGAACATATAAGTGAAAACTGTGGTCTCAGATTTTGGTCTAAAATAAAATTGTGCAAATGACCTTAGCATCCAAGTATAATTTTGTCCACAGGAGTAGTATAATTCATGACTATTCTTTCAGGAACACTATAGGAAAATTACTTGGTATGAAAAGTGTCATAAAATATTAAATTATGCTGTAGTAATTCATGTTAACCTATGAGATAACTGAGAATTTCCATATATATATGGTCCAAATATTGGATTAATTTGTGTCAGAACTTCTGGCCCTGAGGATTTGAACCCTGAATTCCTGGGCAATTCTTCAGCCTAGTACAGTTGGCTCATGAAAAGCGTACCTGCCAAGGAATCTTTCCAGGGCCCTCTTTATGTCCTTGTTCCTGAGACTATAGATGAATGGGTTCAGCATGGGTGTGACCACAGTGTACATCACCGAGGCTGCTGCACTTGAGTGTGAGCTTTGGGTAGCAGCAGAGCTGAGATACACTCCTAGGGCTGTGCCATAAAATAAGGAGACAACTAAGAGGTGAGATGCACAGGTAGAAAAGGCTTTATACTTCCCCTGAGCTGATGGGATTCCACGTATGGAGGAAATTATCTTGGAGTAAGAGTAAAGGATCCCAGCAAGGGGACCAACAGATAGCAGCCCAGCTGAAAAGTACATTATCATGTTGTTAAGAAAGATGTCAGAACAGGCAAGTTGGAGCACCTGATTGAATTCACAGAAAAAGTGGGGGATTTCCAAGTGTGAGCAGAAGCGCAGACCCAACACCATTAAGCCTTCTAGCAAAGAATTCAGGACACTCATGATCCAGGACAGCAGAACCAGCAGTCCACAGAGCCGGGGATTCATGATGACCATGTAGTGCAGGGGGTGGCAGATGGCCACAAACCGGTCATAGGCCATTACAGTCAGGATTAAGTTGTCCAACCCAGCAAAAAGTATGAAAAAATACATCTGGGTGATGCAGCCTTCATAGGTGATGACTTTTCTCTGTGTCTGGATGTTCACCAGCATCTTTGGGACGGTGGTGGAGGTGAAACAGATGTCTACCAAGGACAGGTTGCAGAGGAAGAAGTACATGGGGGTGTGGAGGTGGGAGTCTGAGCTGACAGCCAGAACAATGAGCAGGTTTCCCAACACAGTGATCAGGTACATGGAGAGGAAAAGCCCAAATATGAGGGGCTGTTGTTCCCGTTCCTGTGAAAGTCCCAGAAGAAGAAATTCTGAAATTTGTGTACCATTGTAGGATTCCTTGTGTTGTAGGTGACTACCAGGAAATAGAAAAAATGAAAAACAAAATTTCACATTAGCAAGCATTTGTAACTGAGAATAAATGACATATTTATGTTTTAGAATCAAGAAAGTAATTTTCATTTTGGTGTTTGACTTGGTCCCCATTATGGTATATCTATTAGCATTTGTCATTAGAATTTTCTTTTCTACCATCAACATGTTCTTCAAAAATAATGTATATTGTTATTTTATTGAGAATATCTCTCATGCATTCAGGGAATACATATTGACTACAGACTATGTTCCAGGCACTTTTCAGAGTATGGGATGCTGGAAAACATAGTCTCTACAAACTAATCATAGAGAAAGAATATAATCAAATAAAAATAATAAAACATATCCAATGGTGCAGCTGCTATAAAGAAAAGTAAATGGAGAGAGTGGATAGAGGGTGTTCTTTTTTATAGAGTTTAGCCAAGACTTGCCAAAAGATGACACTTAAACTGATACCTCAAAGATCACTATCTGGGAGACTGAAGCATAAGTGTTTGCCAGGCAAAAGGAACAGACAGTGCAAAGACCCTGAGGAAGATGATTGTTTAGAAAATCAGGGCTCAAAATGAGCCAGAGTGTCAAGAGGAATGAGCACCGCAAAGCAGGATCAGAGATGGTGTCAGAGAATATTAAGAAAAATGGTAGTTTGTGTGCTGCTGTTGTAACTTCAGGTCATGGGGAGTGTCTTGTGCACACTATGTAAATCTTGCACTTTATTAATCTGGCTGCAGAAGCATCTTGTGAATTGAAAAGGATCTCCTCCTTAGTATCTCCTCTTGGTATTAGAGTCACATTGGAATATATCAGTCCAAGCACTGCTCTCAGTTTATAACACACACACACACACACACACACACACACACACACACACACACACACAAAACAGCACACCATGGCCTTTTCACCTCTGTTATTTCTGTGTCCTTCTCACTCCCATACTATTTAAACTATGAGAAGATACAAGTCTAGGTGTGCAGATCAACTTCTTTTCCAAAAAATTTAGAAATAGTATTTTGATATTCTTATAGTACACCTCCCATGGAAAAATAAGCTTTGGGATTTATATTGCTAGGCACATTTTTTGTCCTGTAGTTAAAGAAACATAAACAATAGATTGAATAAACATAGAGGGAGAGAGAGCTATAAAATGAAAACGAGGAACAAGAAAAGATTTAATTAGCTCGGGTGGCTCTGATAGACAATGAGGAAGAAAAATCTTCTTTGGATGCTGGCTGCTTTCCAACCCTAATTATATGCCCCTTAGAGCCAGGCAAAATTAATAGAGGGAGAAAAAAAAAATTTGTCAAAAATACAAAGGTATTTACAGATATATGATGTAACTACCCCAAGTGGATTCTGACCAAAAAATAAACCAATAACTTATAAAAGGAAATATGTAAAAACAGCACAGGGTGAATATTTTAAACATCAAGCAGTAGAAGACTGGTTTTTCCTATGCCTCTTCTATATTTTTTGATCAGTGGGTTTTTATATGATTGATGGTAAATGAGACAAGACGTTTCTCACTTTTCTTATGAGGCATCATTTTTTATCTTAGTCTTTGGGTTTTGATCTCATTTCATCTTCATCCAACTTGCACAGGCCTCTCAAGACGTGATCAATAAATCCTGCACATGCCATGACAATCTATCCTTCTACACTTGAGTAACTTTCCTCATATGATTTAACCCTGAGTACCTGGTCATAAAAACATTTTATCACTGTACTCTGACTTCACCATCACAGTGCCAGATCCAAACAAGCAGGGTTTCACCTGTTTTTTTTTTACCTTTGTATTTTAACAAATGTTTGTGAATATATGTGCACTTATATAGGCAAAACTTTAAGTAAATAAGAGGTTATGAAATGAAAAGATTGACAGGGAGAACGAAACCTGGTTAAACAGAGCAAATTACAAGCAACTGTATTAACGAAAATTGAGTGGAGCCTAAAAAACTAACCATACGATGTATAATAAATAGCAATAATTTAGGGTTACTAACTTGAATTAGTAATCAAATTGGCAATGGCATAGACATAGAAGATAATCTATAATGTTTCTAGAAATTGTGGCACATAGTAGATGCTCCATTGTTATTTCTTGAATGGATCAGGAATTAGGTCTCAATATATAAGTGAACTGTACTCATGGTAAGTCTGCATTTCAATATATTTGGAAACATTGAATTGTTTAATAAAAGCTGGAAATATATCAACCTGGAAGGAAATGCAGTTGTTCTCCTCCCTCAGTCACATTACAAAAAATCAGAGGGATTGCCTGCTCACTGTTAAGTGTAACCAATCTTTTTCATGTGAAATGATAGAAAACTGCACATTAATATGTATGAGTGGGCCAAACCATCATAATTAAGTCAGGAGACTTAGTAGTAATGAGACAGACGTATTTAACTAAACAAATGTGAAACATTTTTATGGCCAAAACATCCCCCAAAGTCAATTGAGAAATAATAATTTTATTAAGTTTTATTTTTAAATTTCATGGAATTTATTGGGGTAATATTGGTTAGCAAAATTATATAGGTTTCAGGTATACAATTCTGTCATACATCAGATGTATATTGTATTGTGTGTTTAGCATCCCAAGTCAGGTCTCCTTCTATCAATTTTTATCTCCTTCTATCACCTTTACACTCTTCCATCTCCCCCACCATAATCATGTTTAGAAATCATTTAAAAGGCTAAAAATGAAAGAAAAATAGGCATATACAAATAATATTCAAATTAACAAGACCATCAAATATATGAATCTTTGATAAAAGCTAGAAAAAGTTCAGTAAACAACAAAAAAAGTCTTCCACATCTCTCAGCCTGGGGAAAACTTAAAAAGGTGTCACATTGACCAGGGTTGGAACTTGCAAACAGGTAGCTAAGGGGTACTCTATTTTCTTTTCTGGCAGAACTATAAGTTTTAAAACATTGGGAAACCAATCTGAAATCAGATATAAATATTACAAATACATATATTCTTTCAGTCAATCTCTGCACTATTGATATTGTGGGCCAGATCATTGTCTGTGGTGTGGTCTCTCCTGTGCATCCCTGGACTCTACCTACCTGCACCTTCCATATGACTGACAAAAATGTCTCAGCATATTGCTCAATATCCTCTGGGGGAACAATATTGCCTCTGGTGTGAATAGCACAGCCACATCATAAAATATTTTGTATACATGGTAATAATAAATTGGCATCACATTAGTTGATTGGAGGGAAGATCATAATGTATTGTTCAGTAATAAGGAAGAGTGGACACAGAAAAAAAGACTGTACAACACAAAAAGATAATTTCTGCTGGGCACAGGATGCTATTTATTGCATATGAGTGTATATGTATTCAAAGCACAAAAGATAAGTTTATTTTAAAAATGTATGGAGTATAGATTATCAAAGGAATGAAATAGATTAAGTTAGTGGTTACAAAAAATCTATATGAAACAAATTTAAGTGAGAATCAAATTAATCTATATAAAAACAGATAATAATAATAACTTAATATCAACATGGGCCACTAATTCCAGCTTAAATTTCCAATAACTTGGAAATAACAGACTATTATAGAATGACTTTTTAAAAAATATATTTTTTTATTTATTTCAGAGAGGAAGGAAGAGGGAGAGAGAGATAGAAACATCAATGATGAGAGAGAATCAGTGATTGACTGCCCTCTGCATACCCGTTGCCAGGACCAAGCCTGCAACCCAGACCAACCAGGAATCTTACAGTGACGTCCTGATTCATAAGTCAATATTCAACCACTGAGCCATGCCGGCCAGGTAGAATGGATTTTAAATTTGGAGGAAAGCAGTATCTAAGCTATAGTTTCTTCTTCTATAAAGATATTGGGTTCAAATATGCTAATGAAAGGTAAAGGTAATCTTTAGTAAGGAAAAAAAAGAGGATGCCTTCCAGAGGATCATAGAAACTGATGCCTGTTTTGTAAATGGATCAACAGAAGGCCAAAAGGAACAATAAGGAACAATGGAGATGTGAAACAAGTTGGCAGTATGTGTGTAGGGTGATTTATTAGCACTGCATACATAGAAGAACATTCACTTTGATTTTTGTGATAGCAACGATTCACAAGTGAAGAATATAAAAGTAACAGCTGGATTTTTTTCGGTAAGAAAAGTAGAAATTCAAAAGCAATGGAGATTATCTCACTCATATGTGGAATCTAAGTAACAAAATAAACAGATGAAGGGAATGGATCCAGAGACATGGAAACATGGAACAGGGTGTGGAATCTCAGAGAGAAGGCTTGTGGGGGTGGGGGAGTGGGAGGTAATCAACCAAAGACCTTGTATGCATATATGCATAACCCATGGACACAGACAATGGGGGGGGAGGGCGGGGAGAAGGCCTGGAGCAAGGTGTCTGGGCAGGGCAGGATAGAAGGGGTCAATGGGGGATAAAAGGGGACACATGTAATACATTCAACAATAAAAAATTATTTTTAAAAAATAAAATAAAATTTAGAAAAACAATGGAGAGAATGCAATATGACTGAGTGACAGACTTGAGCCCACACTATTAATAAATACTCACAATTGCCCACATATACACACATGAAGGTACTCAATAACAACAACAAAGTGGGTGAAAGAAGCCTCCAATTCATTGTTTGGAAGAATGCAATCAAAACAGGAATAAAATACTCTGACCCAACTACACAAACGTCAAGACTTTACAGATGACTTAAAAGAGATTAAACAAATGAATAACTAACCCACAAATATATTTAGGTCACAGAAAATGAAGTAATTGCAAAGTTAAACTATTTAGCATACCTCTTGTTATTTATTATATATTCGTTTTCATGTGAAGTAAATACCAGAGTGAAAGAAGAT